TGACGTCAGTCATAAAATTTATTTCAAGATTTAACGACATTTTCATGACCGAAATATGTTATTTTTCATAATTTTTCGTTAAAAAATGTGTTTACGGGCAAAAAATTCATTGAAAACAATTCGATTTTATGGTAATAACAGAATGAACGAGACGTGCAATATGACGCTGATTATTAACTGATAAACAATGCAACAATTGACGTGATGATAGATCATATCCCGAGTGGAAAAACATTTTCAAACACGATGAACGAATTGTGTTCTATGATGCACTTTGGACATGATACATGCGAATTTTCAAATTAGATTCACTTAAAAGAAGTTTTGAATTCAAATAACAATTTTAGCCATTTATTTTGGAGTTCAGTAATATTTTTCAGAGTATTGCTCAGCTCTGCTGCCATCCACAGCATATTAAAATATCTTGCAGAGAATGCGTCGTCCCTCGCATGCGAATGTACGTAGCATTTTATGCATCACAGCGAACAAGAATGAACGCATTGTTTTCTTCACGGTTATGTCATTCAAACGATTGCTTAGAGAACAATGCTTGTATTGTTGTTCGTGGTGATGTAAAACTGCTAAGTAACTTAGCATGTGACGGACGACGCATTCTCAGCAAGATATTTTAATATGCTGTGGATGGCAGCAGCGCTGAGTAATACTCTGATATTTTTTCCGGTCGGGTAGCTCTGTATATAAAAATATGATGAATCTCGACAAAATATTAGATCAATTAAAAAATACGATTATTAAAGATACGGTGAAAGCATACGAAGTCCAATGACACAGATATAATACAATAAAAAGCTTCTAGAAGGTATAAGATTAAGATTGTACAAATTGTGTAAACATCAATAAGGGTATAAATACCTTTTTTATGGAAAAAAAACTCCGTACCTTCGTATCGTTCAATGATCAAATTTCGTACCTTTTCTAGAACAATGGTTTTTTTGAGCGAAAGTTGGAAAGTGAATGGTCTGGCCATTTTAATTGTCAGTTTAACACTACTTTATTTCTTTCTCAAGCGAACTTATTCGTATTGGGAACGAAATGGTTTCAAAACATTGCCAAATTATAACTATATCTTGGGCCACTTCAAAGAGACATTGGCGCAAAAAGAATTTGTAGGCGATTTTATAGCAAGATTGTATAATAGTACAAGTGAACCGTTTGTGGGAATCTATAGCATTCTTCGTCCAATATTGTTGGTGCGTGACCCAGAGCTGATTCGTTTGATTTTAATCAAGGATTTTTCACATTTCACCGATCGCGATGTTCATTGCAATGAAGAATACGATCCATTATCAGGTAAATCAATACAATTCGTTCCATTCAGTCTTATGTTATAGATTTGTTTCTTCAAATACAGGTGTGCTATTTTCGTTGCCTGGCAAAAGATGGAAGAACATACGAACGAAATTGACCCCAGCATTTTCATCTGGTAAATTGAAAGCAATGTTTGGCACTTTGCATGATTGTGGTTCAACTATGCAAAACTATTTGGAAAAGTATGCCGATAACGATAAAGTCTTGGAAGTACGCGATCTTGCAGCTCGTTACACCACCAATGTTATTGCATCTGTTGGCTTTGGCTTGGATATTGATTCAATTGGCGATCCAAATAATGATTTTCGTGTTTATGGTGCGCAGGTGTTTGAACCAAGCATTAGCAATGCCATTCGTTGGTTCTTCTTTTTCATTGCCCCCAAAATAATGTCCGTTTTACGCATTCACGTTGTTAATTCCAAAGTTGATCATTTTGCGCGTTCAATAACCCGCCAGAATTTGGAATATCGCGAGAAAAACAATATCGTTCGCAAAGATTTCTTTCAACTTTTAATTCAAATCCGTAACGCGGGAACCGTTCAGTTGGATGATGATGACTGGTCAGTCGAATCTAATCAAAAGAAAACATTGTCTGAAAATGAGATTGCAGCGATAGCATTCAACTTCTTTGCAGCGGGATTTGAAACGTCATCGACCACGTTATCGTTCTGTTTATACGAACTAAGTAAGCATCCAGAAATCCAGCAACGTGTCCACAATGAAATTGATAGGGTTTTGAAGGAGCACGACGGTAAAATAACATTTGAATCAATTTCGGATATGAAATATCTTGGAAGATGTTTTGATGGTACGTTTTTCGCATATTCTTTATATTTCCATTCAACTTTTATGATTTTTTTTTTGTTTCAGAAACTCTGCGTATGTATCCTACACTCCCAATTATAAATCGAACTTGTACCAAAGAATATCGAATTCCTGGTACTAATAAAGTGATTGAAAAAGGAACTCCGGTATATATTCCAGTTATTGCACTTCAAATGGATGATAAGTACTACGATGAACCGAAAATCTTCAATCCAGATCGTTTCAATGAGGAAAACACAGTGGGGAAGAATATTGTAAATCGACCATATCTTTCTTTTGGTGACGGTCCCCGTAATTGTATCGCGGCAAGATTGGGGAAAATTCAAACAAAAGTCGGACTCGTTATGATGCTACAAAAGTTTCGCTTTGAATTGCCCGATCAATACAAAAATGACGAAATTAAATTCAGCCCAAAGACGTTCCTCATAGCACCATTTGATGGAATCAATTTGCATGTTTTTAAGCGAAACGCTTTTTAATCATAAATAATCGCAAAGATTAAGGAGTGAAATTCTAAAGCTTTGATTTAAATTTAAAGCTTTAGTTCAATCTCGAAAAATTTTAATTCGAAACGTTTGACTTGTTTTTGGCTTGATTCCTAAAAAATTTAACAATTCACCATAAAACTCAATTAAAAACCCAAAGACCAAAGGAATACGTTGAGAATGCATTTGAATTCATTTTCCCCGATTCTCAAATTCTCGTGCGAATTCCGGTCAATATTTTACTCTACTTTTATAGGAAAATGTTACACTGTATAAAAAATGAAAAATAAAAAAACTCGAAATAGACGAAATCATCCATTGTAAATAACACTTTGAAATCATGATTCCGATTGTTACTCATATAACATCATGATGGCACACACTTTTTACGAGTCACTAACTACACTGGATATACTAAAAAAACAACTATATCATTAAATATGAACAGCGACGTCAAAATCAATCAAATTATTCACTAACTAAAGACAAAATATTGATGTGACAGCCCAAAAAACACCAAGTTAGTGGAAAAGCATCGAATATATTCTAGACTATCTTCAGTTTAATTTTCAAAAACCAAGCTTTCTTCTCTAATAATGACATAGCCGTGGTCTATTATAGGAATTCCCATATAAATTTTGTGACC